AATAAGTTCAACTTGGAAAGCAAAAGTGGTTCATTGATATACATCTGTCATGTGAGTGAGTGTACCAAAAGCACGCACAGAGAGATCATGATGCAGGTGTTAAAAGGTGACTGAGTTATGAAGAAGACCCTGCAGACTCACGGTGCGGAGGTGCCTGGTGAGGGGCAGCTCCCTGTGCTGGATGGGGAAAGGCAGATCTCCTTCCCCAGCTCCTTCCTTGGCTCTCTGCTTTCCAGTTGCCATGATTTGAGCAGTTTTACTCCATGGCAGGACTTTCCCTCATGCCACTTCTGCTTTAAACAGCTGACCATGCATCATTCATAAGAGCCAAGGAGTGGAATACACTCATGTAACCCTGAAAAAGTAAGTCAATGAACAAACCTGATTTAGATATAAATAGACATAGACATAGATATAGATATAGACATAAACATGGATAGATAATATTCAGCTTTAAACAAGAAAGAAATTCACTCATGTGTTACATTATAAATTCTCACACATATTACAAGGTCAGATACTATGCTAAATGAAGCAAGATGATCACAAAGTGATGCAAATTATATGGGATCTGGTAAAAAAAAAAAAATTAATGATGGTTGCCAGGCACTGAGAGTACAATGAGAAGTACTTTAGTGTTCATAAAGGTTCAGTTTTCCAAGATAAAAGAATTAGGAATATTGGTTGTACAATAATGTGAATATTCTTAGCACTATTGGACTGTATATTTTAATATAATAAAATACTAAATTTTGTGTTCAAAAAAAATAAAATAAAATAAAATAAAATAAAATAAAATAAAGGAAAACTAGAACCAGGATTGTTAAATTAATGACAATTTAGTTCGTTCTCTCCTTCTCCTGGTCCCTCTCTATCACACTTTCCCTTTAACATCTCAGAGTCTTCCCTCTATCCCATCCAAATTTTTTACTCTCCATCTTTCGCCTCTGCCATTCTATTCATCTGCTTCATTCTGTTCTCTGTGGCAAAATGCAGCTCTTTACTTCATGGTAAAACACTATCAACACTTGGGAGGCTACTGCAGGATTGGGAGTCCAAGACAAGCCTGGGCTATAGAGTGAGACCCTATCTCAAAAAGTCAACCCAAACCCCACCTCCCAAATCCCGAACATGGTTGTCAATAGTCCCAGAGGGCCGGGGATGTAGTCAACGGCACAACACCTGCCCAGGAAGTGCGAGGCTGTAAGTTCGATTCCTAGTACCAAAAAAAAAAATGTCCCACAGATACAGTCTGAAAATTTTATAGCTAGAGTACGGGGCTCTAGGCATTAATTCCAAATTTCTAAAGGACTGTCGTTCTTATGGGTCAGTCTTCCCAAGTAAGAAGTGGGCCTTCTGCTGGAACATGATAGGTCCCACTTTAACCACGAGACAGTGAAAAGGGTCCTGGAAAATAAGGGAGTCTGTACAATCAAAACACTTACAGAGTTAACAGTTACATCTATTCAGTAAAAGCTACTAACATTTCAAGAGAAATATTTTAGTTAAAGTGAAGTAGCTACAGCAAGAATATATTAGTAGTCACAAGTTTAAAGCTATATTTGTGATTTCATATGAATGGAAAAATATATCAATATACAATATATAAAGTTTTTTTTCTCTCTTTCATTTTAGCTTTCTGAAGTTCTAATTTCAATGGCTCACACTGTAAGGTTATAAATACAAACATTTTTTAAAGAAAAAGGATTTAAGGATACTCTTTGAAGATTTTATAAAAAATATACACAAAACAAGGAGTTGTTTTTTGTATGTGTTAAAATGCAAGTAAAATTATTTTTTGTGTTTTGATCTTTTTTTTTTTTGAGACAGGGCCTCACTATTCAATTCAGGCTGGCCTTGAGCTCACTTTGTGGCCCAGCCTCGCCTGGAACTCGCAGTGATCCTCCTGCCTCAGCCTCCTGAGTGCTGGGATTACAGGCTTTCACTCCCACGCCCAGTTAAATTACTTTTTAGTTCTGTTTCTTTTTTGGGGGGGGGCGGGTACTGGAAATCTAACTCAGGACCTCAGGCTTGCCAGGCAAGCACTTATGCCACTGAGCTATATCCCCGGCCCCCTAAACAATTTTTAAAACATGCAACAAACAATAAAAATTATACAGCATACTTTAGCTAAGGATGCAAAGAGAAAGTTGGGGAAAGATCTCAAAAGTACATTTGAAAATTTAAACCAGCTGGGCATGGTGGCACACATTTGTAATCCCAGCATTTTTTTTTTTTTTTTT